CGTTATCGCTCTTCTCACTAGCACTCATTTTTGCGACCAAAATCATTGACTTACAATTATATGGACGTCGGGTCCGCGCTAAAAAGTGTCCGAACTTATAGGGCGTTAAAATCGTATACAGAGCGTCATTCAAGCTTTAGTCTTCGCTTGTTCGACTGACAGCGAAGCAAGCAAAATTAGACAGTACTGCGATGACATTACAATTTAAATTCAACGTTTTAGCTTATTCATATTCCTTTACATGTCACTACGTTTAAATAGGTTGACTTGGGACATTTTTTTCGTGGTTTTTGTATTAGACCCGTCGTCCATTTATTTGTAAGTCATTGACCAAAATACAAAAAAGGCGAAAAAACAAAAGAATACCAAAACACTTTAGTCTAAATTTTACCGCCATTTTCTTTTTTTTTTAAGTAAGCGGTACAGGCAGGTATTTTTAATTCTCGAAATTATGAACACTGGGCAGTTGACTGTGTGAGTTTTTCTTTTGCCTGTTTACATAGTTCATTATTAATAGGTAGATTTAAAGCTTTGGAGAGGTGGACAGTAATTTTCATACTTACTTTACAGGCCTTGGCCGGGAAGAAGTCGCACGGTCCATAAATGGCAAACTCTCCGTGTTCGTTTTTTGAAAGTTAATATAAACATATGTTTGAGAAAATTCTTTAACGGCATTTGAATACGCATCGTAATGTATACCTATAACAGTAATTACGTACATGCATGCACCTCATTCTCCACGTGTATCTACGTACGCGGCAGTACTTTCCTGGATGAGCTCCACGTGAAGTAGTTCATCCAGGGAAGTAATGCCGCCTTACCTATTCCTGCCGCCAAGCAGTAATGCGAGCATTGCCTTATTTCGGTTTTGAATTCATGTCTCAGGGTGACGGCCGCAGTGGAAGTGCCCTTCAGATCTTTACGATTTAAAGCCAGACAGACGTGGACAGGCTTGTCGCTTACCATCCAGCGCATTGTAAAAATATTTCACACTACATGTAAAAATATTTGAAAACAAATTGTATTTTTTTTGGTCCTCAACTAAAAAAGTTTGCCCACCCCTGATTTAGACCACAATTCGCTATGTTAGGCCACGGGTTGAGAACTTCTACACTTATTATTAGAACATAACTCTAGTTGCGCACTTGTGTCACCTCCAACATAACCAAGATCTTCGATTAGAATACACAATAGACGATTATTATAATTAGAAACGCCGAAGCGATCGCTTATGGGCAGTAGAATAACACAACGTATTTACATTCACATTTGGTATGTAAATTGTATGCATTGTATAGGTATGTACGTAAATAGAGTGACCCTGAAATGTATGCGAGATTTTTAACCTATGACTCTACTTAATAAAACGTGTCGAGTTCTTAGATTTGCTACGCTTAGGAAATGAAACTGTTTTATCCAGATATACCTATTACTACTATTACTGCAGCAAAGCAATAATGTGAGCATTACTGCTTTTCGGTTTTGTAGGGTAAGGGTGCTGGTTAAATTACAGGCCCATGGAACAAGGCGACGACGGGCACAGTGTCCTTTAAATTTTTGTGATTTACAGTCGCATGATTTGTTCGTCCCGTCAAATATTCGACAAAGACTTACGGAAATGAAGTTTATTATACTAGTTTCAAAATTGCATAACAGTTTTCAGTCAATGAAATATAGTATGGTTTAAGACATTTAAAAGTGAAAAGAAGGCTCGGATTACGTGGCCGGAAGTGAATTTACGAAACGCATTATATGGGCGGAAATGCAAAATTACCAGCTGGCGTTCACTTGAACTTACGTTTTTGAGTCAATTTACACTCTCCTTGGTATAATAATACTTGGCATAAAGTTAATTACACTTTAAAGCTAGTCAGAATAATAATAAGCACCTCTGACCGCGAGTCCGTATGGAAAGAGAAGGAGCTCCATGGGAGGTTCTTCAAGGTACTCCACGAGCCTTTTATGGACCGTAAAGCCTCCCTACATTGGCTGCGTTTCGGGGACCTCTTTGGGGAAACTGAAGTTTTGTCTGTGCAATACAGGATCAGGTTATCAAGACGCGGAACTATCGGAAATATATCCTAAAGGACGGCACAGTAGACATTTGTCGGGCATGTGGCCGTCCCGGAGAGTCACTTAGGTATATTGTTTCCGGTTGTTCCGCTCTTGCTAACACTGAGTACTTGCACAGACACAACCAGGCAGCCAAAATATTACACCAAGAGCTCGCTCTCAAGTACGGACTAGTGCAACAGAGGTTGCCATATTACAAGTATTCACCGGAGCCAATACTCGAAGATGACCGCACCAAAATCTATTGGGATCGATCTATTATCACGGACAGGACTATTCTTGCGAATAAGCCTGATATTGTGATATTGGATCGATCGCAGTCGAGGGTATTTCTCGTGGACGTCACCATCCCGCATGACGAAATCCTCGTGAAAGCTGAAACCGAGAAACGCCGGAAGTATCTCGACCTGGCGCACGAGATCACCGACATGTGGGATGTGGCCTCCACTGAAATAATCCCAATTGTTTTGTCCGCAAATGGGTTAATTCCAGTCAGCCTTTCTAACAGTTTGAGGCGGTTGGATTTCTGTGGCGTGTCGCTTCCAGCACAAATGCAGAAGGCGCTCCTGCTCGATACGGTACGTATTGTTCGCCGATTCTTGGACCTGAGTCCCTGACCCCGGCCTACTGTGCCATTGCCGGGAAATACCGCCTCCCATTTAAAAATTCAAAATTAATCTTTTAGGCCTTGGGAGAGGCGAGAGTCTAAAATAGATAAATAATAATAATAATAATAATGATAATGGTCAGAATTTACCTGTACCCAATTTAAAACATTGGTATTAAAGTCTCTTCGTTTTCCAACATTTAATCAAAGCTTCTCCAGTAGCCAGACCGATTTTTCAAAGTAATAAAAAAGTTTTAAGTTGCACAAAGCTAAACTAAGTTTCTAACGAGTGAACAGTAAAATCCACTTTAATCACCTTTAACAAAGAGTTTTATTTAAAACACGGGCTCTCCGATTCAAGTATTTTGTCGTAATAGACTTAAGGTATGTTTACAATGATCACAGTTTTTTTAATGATAGTAACGGAATGAACAAGTCGTGCGCCTGGTGATAAGCGACACATCTACGCATAGGTTACTTAGTATTTATTTTTTTAGTTAGTATTTAGTTTTTATTTATTTATTTAGTTAGTTAGTATAGTTGCAATATCACTCAGAGTTTTAAATCGCAAAGATCTGAAAGGCAATGCCACAACACCTGTCACCCTGAGACGTAAAATTAACAAGTCCCATGGGCGTGTAAATTTACCAGCACCTTTACCCATCGTAACCAGAACGCAGTAATGCTCACATTACTGTTTTATGACCGCAATGGGAGGAGCTCTACTAGCTCCTCGACGTATGTACCATTGGGATTTTCCAGAAGTATGGATTTCGGATAGCGGCATAGTACATTTGCGAAAATGTAATTTATGTTAGAAGAACAGAAATTTTATTATGAAAAATAATGACAGACATAACATTAATACGAAGAATAAAAATAAACTAGCTCTTCTTGATAGTTGGTTTCACAAAGTCACAATTTTTTTTATGTAATATCAAGTGACGGGACAAAGAAGTCGTGCGCCTGATTGTAAGGTACTCAGAGATTTACTTTATTTAGGCACTGTCACTGCGCTCGTCACCCTGAGACAGACGTAACCTTCAAAACCGGAACACAGTAATGCTGACATGACCGCTTGGCGGCAGAAATAAGTAAGGTGACAGTACTTCCCTGGACGAACTCTTTCACAAGGAGCTTACCAACTATATACGCTTCTATAATAAGATACCAGATGATATTCAAAATTCTCATTTACGAAAAGGGAAGGCGAAATCAAATTATGCAAAACCATCGAACACTCTCCGTGATATGTCCTGTAGAACACCGAGAAGCTGGCAACTCTACGGCGGTGTTCAAGGCTCTGCACTTCGCCTCTACTAATTCCGAGTCATCTATAAGCCTCTTAACACGCTTGTCTATTGAACCCAACCCAGAGCCAACCCATAAGTGGCAGCAGTACTCCATACACGACCGGACTTATGCTTGGTACAGCTGAAGCAACAGTCCTGGTGTGAAGTAACGCCTTACCTTGGAAAGGATGCCAAGCTTCCTGGCTGCATTTTTGGCCATGGATTCAATGTATCTGCCGAACTGTAGATTGGACGGCAGGTGCATTCCAAATTGGTGAAGACGGTCGGCTATCGGTATGGAGATATCACGAAAAGTCGGAGTCAGGTAAAAGGGACTCCGTTTAGTGGAGAAAAGACACACCTGCGTTTTGGTTTTAGCATTACATTTGACAAGATGGGTTAGCCTCAATCGTAAACTGTCTTAAGTGTGAAATTTAAACAACTAACCATAGTTTCTCGACAAGACTGGATTTCTTCTCCACTGACCCTTAGCTATACATATGCGAAAGGTTTACCATGTACCAACTTTCGTTCTTTGCATTCGATAAAATTGCCGGATCGTGAAACAAGTTTTTATTGAAAAAATATTTTATAAATAAAATAAACATTAAAGAACACTAAAGCCTTCACTCTTCTACAATCTGCCGTCTCTTTCGCTCCTCTGATACCCTCATCCTAAACATTCTCAGACCTCCACTCGCAATTTTTTTGTCATAATTTTTTTCGTTCTATATTATATGTGTAGTTTATTATATGTGATATAATTAACTCGTTCTTGTAAACTACATAGTTTATAAGAACGCGAAGTCGAACCGTTCGGCAAACAAGTATTAATACAGGAAACTAAAACAAATGAATGAAAAAAAATATGACAATCGACAAATGTTTTATTTTCAAGTAAAAAAAACAAAGCAAAATTTTGGGCCTTTTACTAGTGGTCCTCTACATGTACCTGTGTGTGTAATAATTGACTCATCTATTGTAATATGTAACAACAGAACATTACAAATATTTTTACTTTATTCCAGGTTCTCTAAACGATTCGCCAATTTGATAACTTGTAGCAGAAAAGTTTTAAAATGGAGGAAGGAAAGAAAGAAATCAATTTGGATTCCATATTGGAGAGTCTTGGCCCGTACGGCAGATACAATATATTGAATTTCGTATTGCTACTCTTCCCAGTGCTTTTGAGTAGTTTCTTTGAATGCGGGTTCATTTTTGAAGCGCGGGAAGTTGACTACAGGTAAGTGGTACTTACAGATAGTGTTAAGCTTTTAGAAAAATTCGATTATCTGGGGTTTGTAAAACAACATTTTTCTTTATGCGTTTGGTCACCATACAATATATACATAAGGTAACAAATATAAATAGCCCTTAACTCTTCGTGCAAAAAGTATCCAAATTGCGATTATAAATGTTGCAAAGTTTTAAAACTTTATAAAAGCAACTTCATTGTCAGCTCAAACTACATTAACGTACTACCGAAACTAAGGTTTCACTCAAAACATCCTACTAAGCCCAATCCTAGATATCATGCATACAACCTATCACGCACAAGCGCTTGTGCGGACTGTGCCATAATTAGATTACACAAGCAAGTTATTAAAATTGTAATACGTTCGTATCCTTTTAAGAATATTAAATTTCAAAGCTTTCAAAACATCAAAAGCCTAAAATTAATGTTCAAACAAGCGCATGCGAAATTAATGTTTACTAATTTCTGCCAAATATTTGAACCGATAAGCTTCCGTTAATGAATCTCAAACATTCATTTTAACATCAAAGACATTGGTGCTATTTAAACTTATCGAAATTAATCGTATTTAATCATTAAAACGCCTGGTCGTGGTAACGTACAAATGATAAATATTTTATTAGCTTGTCCAGAAAGAGAAAGATGCACTGTATTAGAATTTTAAGTAAACAATGCGTACTTTAAGGATGGATACACAATAGTATATAAAAAAAATTGTCGATCTGTACCGAAGGAGAGTAAGTCCTGCCTCTCACTGCCTAGATAGTTGTATCATCATAATGTTGTACTTACAAAGAATTCTTACCGAATTTAAAAATTTTAGATGTGAAATACCAATTTGCGAAGGCATCTCAGACTTCAACGACACCTCCTGGACGAACTTTTCCATCCCATTCAACCATGAAAAAAACAAGCTGGAATCTTGCGTAAGATACGCTCCAATAGACGAAGCTAATGAAAGATGTTCAGCTGATGCCTTTTATATGAACAAAACCGTACCCTGTAAGAGTTTTGTGTACGGAGAAAGTAACACTTTGGTGAAAGAGGTATGCACTATTATTCCTTTTTATGGTTCTAGCTTTTATAAGTATTTAATCTCTTGTTTTTTTCTTCTGTAATCTTAAAACTTTACACCACAAAGTACAAACTTTAATGTTTTACGTTCGCTGTAATTGTTTATCTAAGGTATTACTTTCATTAATTTGAAATTTATTATGAGCTTTTCGGTGAAGGAAAACATTGTTCACAACAGCTCACAAGCCTTGGGTTATATGTGACGGCCCCAACCCGCATTGCGCCATCGTGGCAGACTATGGCTTAAACCCTTACCTAAGAGGAAACCTGTGCCAAGCAGTAGCACTTTTAAGGATTGATGATGATGGTGATTTTGATTATATGATTATCACTAGTTATATTACCACGGTATGACTTTTTCTTATTATACTGGTGCTTGGAACTTAAAACAACAATAATAAGAACAAAAATGATTCCACTTCAGTTTCATGTGTTAATATAGTGAGTGTGGTTTGTAAGAGAAAAGTGAGTGACAACGGTAACACTGGAAGAATTCGAGAGGAGAGTAATCATCGACAGCGAAAAAGGGTAGACATCACTGCTGAAAAGTCAACTCGTGACCAAATAACGTGTTACGGTTCCAAAAAAACGAGATATTAAGAAGTCATACCGTCGTAAAAAACCTGCAACCTGTCGTGAAAAACTACAAAAATCTAAATATTTACTGTTCCTCACAGTTCAATCTGGGTTGCGAAGAAAGCAAAAGAACTTTAGTTGGAACCATACACAGCACAGGGATGTTTGCAGCCATGGTGTTCACAGGGGCTATATCTGACAGATTCGGTCGCAAAGTTGCTATTGGCTTAGCGTCAATTGCCAGCTTCATCTTCGGCATGTCCAGAGCATTCTCTCCAAATTACTGGGTTTATATCGCAATGCACTTCTTCGAAGCTGGTTTTGGAGGAGGATTGTATCCTTCGGCGTATGTACTAGGTATGTCGTCATAAGTCCCGATTCCCATAACAGTAAAACTACAGTAAGATATCTCTTGGATAAAAGGTCTTACTAAACTGGTTTCAACATTATTCAAATTACTTTTTCATTTACAGGTGTCGAGCTCGTCGGCCTTAAGCAGAGAGTCATCGTGTCTGCCATCTGTAATATGACCTTCGTCGTCGGAGAAGTGATAATTGCCTTATTAGCTTTATTTGTAGATAACTGGCGTACCTACATCCTCATTCTATACAGTCCAGCCATCATCGTCGGTGTTTATGTATGGTTCATGAATGAAAGCGCCAGATGGCTCTTAAGCAAAGGCAGAAAAGAAGAAGCTATAAAAATACTAAAAAGTGCGGCTAAAATCAACAATCTTGACCCTAGAAAACTTGACCTTGACGCTCTAGGCGATCCATTATTAAGACCGCAAAACCAAACAGTAGACAAGCAGTCGCAATTATCAAAAGCATTGCGATCTTCTATAATATGGAAAAGATTACTTATCTGCTCATTCCTGTGGATAACATGCTCTCTGGTATACTACGGATTATCAATAAATTCGACATCTCTATTGCCAACAAATAACAGATATGTAAACTTTATGCTTGTAGTATTGGTTGAGATACCAGCGTATATAATTGTGGTGGTTGTTATCGATAAATATGGAAGAAAAAGGACTCTAATGGCTTGCTACGTTACATGCGCAGTCACCAGTTTACTCTTCGCATTTCTACCGCGATGTAAGTATACTTGTGTACGCATATAGCGCGATGTTTCTGTTTCAGTTAATATATTTCTGAGATTACATTAAAACTATCTTCCACTACAGCATTTTCTGTGTTAGCTTTTTCGCATCCCTTTATTTCATGCATCGTTTATCTTTGTTTAGTTCCCGCATCAAATAGTTCTTGGTTATAAATACTACTTAGTCTATTTACTCGTCACGTTGATATATGTAGTTACATGTTAAATTAATGAACAATGACTAAACACCTCACATTGACCTACATTCTGGTATTATGAAACCAGATCTACACGTGGTGTAAGGACTAATATATTTATTAACAGCGTAGCATTCTATTTATAGAAATAAAACACAGAAAACTGATTGTATGACCGAAAATAAAACTACGCCATACAAGTTGTTTTGATCAATCTATTCTAGGTATTATTATTTTGTAAACATTTGTACATGAACTCGGTTGTCCTCGTTAATGGTTAACACGCATCGCTTCTATTTATTTTACTTCAAGTGTTTCTCTTTTATTCTCAATTTGATTTCAATACAATACAATTTATTTTCAATAAAATTATTATGGTATTCAAATATGTTTAAGTGTAAAATATCTATTTTATTATATCTCAACTTTAAACGGTCAAATATAAGTGACAGTGCATCTTCGGTCCCTTATGTGCAACTTCCAGCGAAACGCGACATAAGAAATTTTTCAAAACAGATTCCGTTTGGTCGCAGCGGACTGGTGGTCCATTACCCTTTACCTGATCTGCAAATTTGGCGTGACTGTGGCCTATAGTTCCGTCTACATCTACGTGTCTGAAGTCTTCCCCACTAATATGCGGCAGACTTTAATCAGCGTCTGTTCTATGGCTGGAAGAATAGGATCTTTGCTTGCTCCTCAGACTCCGTTACTGGTAAGTTGTGGAGAAATATTCTCCATTCAAGTCTATTTATGATCAACCTATATGATATTGTGTTGGAGACGGGTATCCTTGTAGGAAAGGATTTTTGGCCATGTTCCACCGCACTAGCATAAATACGGGTTGGGAATTTTTCACGTCCTAGAAGCATTGTGAACTTTCCCTGACATAACGTTGCATCAATTGTTTTTTTTACTATTAAATAATTGAGAATAAATAACAATAATGTGCCAGACGACTATCAATTGCCCGGCCTCTAACTAAGGAATTTCCTGTACAATCCAGAACATAACTATTCAGAACCAATCTAGAAAAGTTAATTTCCCAAATTGGCCCTATTGGGAATCTAACTTGGGACCTCCTCATCCAGCGCCCACATTGCATACCATTGAGCCACCGAGATGTACAAGAATTTCATCTATCAATTTTAACTAAATCTGACTTTTTTGTTACTTAACAACATTTGACACGTTTTTACAACATTGTAATTTCTAGCATTTCACAAACGCTATCTTCTGTGTCGGTCTAATCAAATAAACATACATAACTAAATATTTACAGATATTTTGACCTGCTTGTCAATAATAACAAATTTTATAAGGAACGTTTAAGGGGAAATTTTTTTTTACGTCACTTCTTCACACCTCTAAACTCACATCGGAAACTGGTATCGGGGTTGCCTGGGCTTTGAAGCGTGTGAGATAGACGTGGACCAATTAAATACAAGATGTCTAAACATTTGCCTTCTAGATATAAAACATATCCTCTTAGTGTAAAAGAAGCTCATACATCCCCTGACGTATTTATTACGGAACACGGGAGAAAAAATGTCATTGAAATATCACAAATAACAATCTAATGAAACTTGTTTTCCCGTACATTTTGACAATTTTGCGGTACTTTGTGATTTTTTTTAACAAACGAAGTTTAGTCGAGCGCCTTATCACTACCTGTATCTTCTGCTTTCATTATGAATCAAAAAAGCAAGTCGTTACGTCTAAAACGTCTATTTTGCGTCTCACTTCATCTTAATCAATAATAATATATCCCATTTCATTTTCCAGGCCTTGTACCATAGGTCGATGCCGCTATCCATCTTTGGCTTCATGTGTGTCCTATGCAGCACACTGGTCGTCCTTCTCCCGGAGACGAGCAACATTCGCCTTCCAGACACCATCGAGGAAGCTGAACAGCTGTCAAAAGTGAAAAGCAAAATTGACATTTAGTGCATGATGTTAACAAAATTGTAAATATAAAAGACACGAAAGCGGCCAACCACAAATTATTTACGTCGATTTGTAACCTTGTGAGTTATCCGGTTATTTAGTTAGGATATGTTTATTGTAATGTTCGCATGTCGTATCTTAATGCAAATGATTTATATGGTTCTAGAAACAAGTGAAGTCTGTTAACCAGCTGGGATTGCCTAAAAATGCCTTAGCCAGGTGACGTGACGCCGCGATGCATTAAAACGAGTAATGCAATATAAACTTTATGCTCTAAAGGATAAGACACATCAAATAAAAAATGAAAAAGAAGATACACTCGCACTCTGCAAAATGCAATATAATGCAGAGCATATAGTTTACTTTATAAAGTATACATTTCTTTGAATGCAAAATAACAAAAGATTAACGCCGCGTGACACAGCCCGGTGCGTAGTGCGTTCCAGCGCGGCGCATCCTACGGTCGGCAGCTTCTGCAGCCACGAACAAAGTGTATCTTCAATTCTCAACAATAAGCTATATATTTCTTTGAAAGGCAGACCAAGGTGGGAATTTGAGGCGATCGTTACGCGTGGTATTCTAAAGCTCGATTTAAGTGTAACTGGTGTTCATGCATGTTTATTTATATGAAACTTGTCTTACTGCTTATAATTTAAGTTGTGCCCCAAAATAAACAGAAATAAGTCAACATTTGCATTACCGCATTTCGTTTTGAGTATGCCGTAATCAGTGTCGTAGAAAGTACGTTGCTGTAATTTCTGTCGATTTGTTTCTTCAATATGTTATGTTAAGTATTTATTTACTGTAAACGTATATCTTTGCTAAGCTTATATCAATATGCAAATGTGAATGCACCACAGACTACAAATGTATGGCACGCCTAAAAATGAGAGAAGTTTTCCATTGAATAATCTTTATTTATTGGATTTTTTTCTTCAAATATTCACAAATTTGAATAATTTACAAAACTTGGGAGATTATACAAAAAGCGATAATTTGAATCCCAAGAAGTTAATTATTACTTTACGCATAAAATTGAAAGATACATGCTTTAAGTGTCTATTTTATAAACATTGAATAAAGATATAATCATTTACGTACGTACAGTCTTAAGTCTTTTTAATAGTTCTGTGGCTTAACATTAAGGCAGTTCTAAGAACTGCGATAAAATCTATATATTCTCTGTTACCTTTAAGTGGAAAATATTTCTATGGTTAGTTTAATAAAGTTCACTAACTTATTCTGTGCATTTAGAGCAGTATTTCCGAATTAACTACGTGCATAGCCGAATGCAAGATTGTCTTTTTATATGGCATAAGATTTGGCATATTACTCAAAATCCGTCATCATTTCTATTAAAAAATTATGCGGATTCATTAATATGACAAAAATTGTTATGCGAACTATTAATTATGCATAAAATTGCAATGTGTCATCCCACTTTATCTCGAATAAGGATCATTATTTCAGTGCACTTAATTTCTACTTAGAACTTAAATTACTTACTTTAAGTACTTACTTTAGATGTTTTTTATGCTGTAGTATAATTATATCTTTTAAACGCATATATGTACATTGTTCTTTGTGTCGTTTTTATGTAAGCCTGTGGTAGTACTTACCTACCAGCACAGCCGTCGAAATTGATGCCACGTGTTTGTTGTTTACTTAATTTTGTGTACCTATAATTGTTTTACAACTTTTAATTATTTGTATATTAAGCGATCCAAAGCCTTTGGATCTTGCGAATACAGTTTTCAATGAAAACGTTATAAATGTAATGTAATTCAATGTAATAAAATTGTGAGTTACGCATTATTCGATATTGATAACAGTATACATCTACAGTATTGAATTATTCTACGGTCAATGCGTGGGCATCTGAACTTTTTTATGAATCATTAAATAAACTCAGAAAACTGACAAAAAAGCTACCATATTAATTTAGTAAAATCTGTTGAACTGTTTTTTTATATTATTTGCTCAATATAACTAATTTAAATAATGCCAGTGAGCTATCTTCGTATTATGTAATATCCCAAACGCACGCAACACTGTTGTTCAACTGTATAACCCGAAAATGCTTCTATTTAATTATTGGAAGATCTACAGCCAGTTGCGGCAAAGGCCGTTAAATATTATGTATCTTTTTACAAAACAAACAAAGAGGCAACGTGTTACTTAAGCATTAAAGTTAACGGACGTTCGTACCGTGTGTTTAACTGGTTAGTTAGTCTTTTAACTGAAATGTGTTGTTTTGCTGCTAGGAAAAACAAACGCTGCATACCTTTACAATGAACAGTGCAGCCGCAAGAATCTTACCAGCTATTTAAATATTTGAAACATGTTTGTAGTTTGCTTCCAACATGAAGTGGCATTTAAAGTACGTCCTGGTTCGAGTATTTTCAATACTTTCAGTAGACATATAATTATTCTTCTAATCTGTCAAAAATAAGTCAAAAATTAAAAAGTTCGTGGTATACCGACCGTAGTATATTACATTAATTATAAATTAGCAAGGGACCAATGGACCTAAAATACTGTTACGTAGTTTTTTTATTTTTTGTATTATATCTAATCTGTATTTATTCATGTAAGTCGGTACAAACCTTTTGTTTCACATTTTTTTACAATAAATAAACGTTCATAATTTATGAAACATTTTTATTCCATTGTGATCTTTATTTCTTCGTACCCCTCAATAGATAAACAGGCTTTATGATCAAAATAAGTGCGCATTTGATCTCCATCTCACTTGATGGAAAGTGACGATAAAATCGACAATGGAGCTTGCACACCTATATGTAATACCTATTCACTTTCGTCTTAAAAAGGCCCAAGTTATTTCAGGGAACACATCTACAGATAGGGAATGAAAAAGAAACGCTTCGTGCGAATCTTTGGTTATATCCACAACACAGGGGTGGAACCCCAACCTTCGTCTAAACCCCCGATGACAGAAAAGGGATGGCGGAATGATTTCTTGCCATTCCGTCGCACATTCTCCGTGATATATTCTACAGAATACTGATAAGCATGTTACTTTACAGGTGATCAGAGAGGTAACAGAGATAACGAATTTAGTCGATAAAATATTTTATCGACTGCAATCACTAGCTGCTCGTAAGAGGCAACATTTTTCCACAATGAACTGTCATTTTACTCCGTCATGAAAACAAAAAAACACAGAGTAAGTATAGATATTATCGGAAACTGTATCGATATGTCCTGCCATTCCAACACTAAGGCGGGGCAGATGGAGTAACTTTAGTTGGCGCAACTGACAACTTTTTACAAGTTTCCCTTAGCAGTTGCCGGTTGTAGCAACCAAAAGGCCTAGTTGCTGGTTGCCGCAATTTTAAATAAACTTTCGAAAACCACGGTTAAGATTGACGCTGCGGGGGACGGGGAGGTAGTCAAGTTGCTTCACGAGTTGCGGTTGCCGGTTGCGGAAACTGGCAACAGGAGACAACGGTTTCTTGAAATTATATGAAAAACGTTATAAACAGCTAGTTACGGGTTGACAGTTACCGAAACTCGACGATAAAAGTTGCACCATTTGCGCGGCGCCTAACACGACATATGTATTTTCCGAAACAACCTAAAATCCAAACCAAGATATCTTTACCTTAAACTAAGTAATGTAATTAAAGGTTTAGTTAGTGTTTCCTCTTAAGGTCATAAAGCTAATTATGTACTTGTTCAATGTTATCGTTACCGACACCTGCCGTAGTTGGCTAAGTTAAATATTAAAGTGTAGTTAAGTAATTAGTCGATGTACAGAGCCAAAGATATTAGCTGACGGGACTTAGTATATAGAATGTTTAAAATATTTTAGTAGCAGTAGATCTCCTTGTGAAAGAGTTCGTCCAGGGAAGTACTGGCACCTTACATATTTCTACCATCAAGCAGTAATGTCAGCATTACTGCGTTTCAGTTTTGAAGGGCAAGTAAAATTACAGGCACATGGGACTTGTCAACTTGTCTCAGGGTGACGAGCGCAGTGGCAGCGCTCCTCAAATCTTTGTGATGTGAGCCCTGAGTGGCACTGCAACTGTTATAGATAGGCGTGTAGCTTACCAGCAGGGCACGACCTGTTCTTCCCGTCATTTGATATTATAATAAAATAGTAATAATAAGTATGTAAGTGGCCATGGATAGGGACACGGAAAAAGTATCGATACTTTTTGGTATCGAGTATTTTTCCCTCTGATACCGATACTTTTCAGGTGTTAGTACACTTTGACAAGTATTGCATCGTTTCGAATAAGTCCTAAGTAAGGACACCTCATATCATAGCAACTTTATCACTTAATTATTTGGCTGTACATTGTATGCCACGATTTGCCTCTTTAAAATAAGTTTGGCCCTTCTTCAGAACATTTGTAATGTTCTCAAAAGCAGGCAATGCAGTATCAAAAACGAGAAACATACCGTTACCAAATAGATTTTTGTTTTTAAGTGATTATACAGAGGAGGAAATTGGAAATTTAAGTAAGTAACACAAATTATGTCAAATGACGATTGATTGAATTAATCAATTCTTCATCAAGTTCAATTAAAGATCATAAATGGCACCCGCGACACAAGGTTTCCCTAGTGCGCGGCTATGTTGAGTGTGTGTGCGTTATGCCAACTAAGCTTCTAAGTACGTTACTTTTTATGCGATACTCTTTATAAGTACAGTATCGATACTTTTGATTCGATAGTGTCCCTAGCCGTGGATATCAAATAATTCCTCTTTGTTGTGATATACAAAAAGTAATATTTTTTCCTAGTAATATTATTTAAATATTGGTCATCAATTTTATTTTCTGAACTATGACAAATATGCATATCAATAGATGGCATTGTGTGTTACAAACTCATTTATAAATTAACGCTTCGTAATATGGGTAGATGGCGCTAATCCTAAGCAGAATAAAATAATAGCCTGCGCTATCCATTAAAATCAATGCAATAAGCGCCATCTAGTTGATTTGCTTGTTATCACTAGAAAATAGAGTAGCTTTAATAAATTGCTGCTTGTCTGTATAAAATAGCTTAGTTACAACAATTGTAACTTTTTCATTGAAAACAAAACCGACTCAAAAGTTTGCTTATGGGCCTTTTTTCGATTTCGATGGGATCCCCTCATCAGATTCTGACGTCTCGGTGACAATGGGACTGTTACGGACTCCTTTGTACATTTTATACTCTTTTTTCTGGTTGTCATGGCGACGGTGATTTGTTGATTACATGTATTGTGTCAAGTGACAATTCGACTTTTATTTGCGGTAAATATTTTTTTAATTTGTGATAGCCGAACCGAATACGAAGCTGCGTCGTCGGCATCAGGTACCAGCGCTATATATCCTTACTCACGTATAGCCTTTCAAACAAAAAAAAAATTAAATCGGTCCACAATTGACGGAAAAACCGGGATATGTACACTCATGTGCCAATAAATGTTGAGGATTTTTCTCGATTTCCATGGATTCCCTCATCATATTCGGACTTGGTGACAATGGGACCACCACAATATTCGGATTCTTGTTTTATTTGAAAGGGTGCATCTTTCAAACAAAGCAGAATCCGAATTCGGTCCGAATTTGGCCGGATCGAAGGAATTTTTTCTATTTGTTGGATCTTTAATTATCAATAATTTTAACAAACTAGTGGAGTAATTTAAAAAAAAAATGAATATCAATTCAATAAAAATTCAAAGAAAGACTTTTCAAAATCGGTCTACAATTGACGGAGAAATCGGAAAACATACATAAAACATAAATACAGCCGAAAGTATAACCACCTCCTTTTTTAAGTCCGACAACGATATCTGGTATCCCAATAGGTACTAAATACCCGACTACGTTGTCTTGTATCGCCATTAGGTTAGCCCAATCCTCTTGGGCTAACCCAGTGGACCACTAATGGTCCATGCTACTAAGTAGCAATTTCTAGACACGCATAAAGGTACTTGAGGTTTAAGGAACTTAAGGTCTAGAAATGTTTGATATAACGACCCCTCCTACGTAAAGTACCGTATGTTGAAATTGCCAAGTTTACAGGGGGCGGGTTTTAAATTCACTCATCTAATAGGTCATCTAACCGGTATTTAGGATTTTATAATACTCTGTGTGAATAACGAGCTTTGTCGAATGAAACTGAAAAATGCTAAAGTCACGTGTTATAGGATGGGTCGAAATAATAATAATATATTTTCATCAAATGTTTACAATACCACTTATGAAATAGTTTAAAAAAATATAACAATTGAATTTGGACGAGGTTTTGAATAATATAAGTTCATACACATTGACAAAACAGTTCTTCACCTTCCGTGCTAGTCGAAACTGTAAGGTAAAGTTCTCACTCAAACGAATATATTCTTTACGAATTAGTCATAAGGATTAATTAGTATTATTGACTATTTATGAAATGATAATCTCAGTACAGAGTACTAAAAAACCGACCTCAAAAGTACGTGGAATTACGTCTATTTGCTAATCTTTATTGAATTATCCCCTAGTTCGCCACTACGATTATAAAAATCGGTTCTGACTACTAAAAGTATATTGAAAGAAAAACGCCTTGAATTGGAGAAATAGCAAAATCAACCATTAAAATAATTGCTCCTAAATTAAAGTTAGGCGCTATTTATAAAAATGAATCTTCATGCGTGAACACTTAAAGATCATTGACTTACAATTATATGGACGTCGGGTCCGCGCTAAAAAGTGTCCGAACTTATAGGGCGTTAAAATCGTATACAGAGCATCATTCACGCTTTAGTCTTCGTTTGTTCGACTGA